ACTTTAATAATGCTGGTATTTAAAATGTATAAGTTGATAATGGATACCTTGAACGCTGTGTGAAACAAAACTTAGAATTTCAAAAATCCTGTGGATAGTGCATCATGAATAAATGAATATCGTATTGCGTATTTCATCGAAATAATTTGCATCCTGCTAATTGGTATCTGTTAGTTGGCAAAGTCTATATAATGGTGAGAAATCATTTAACCAAACACTTCTAACAAATTATGACATGGACTGCAATCATGAATTAATTCTGTTATTAAATACTTACAGATAGTGAAATAGGTAGTGAACAGATAAATTTTTTGTAATTCATAATAATAAATAATAATCAATAAATGTATTATAAGAAAAACCAAATTTATTCAAATTGTATAGAAAAAAATTTTATTTAATACTTATTTATTTCTAATGAATTTCTATTAATATATTTTAGAACTTATTTTTTTCTTTTTGATTATTTTTAAATTGTTTATCTAAAAACAATGTAAATACTAAAATAATATTATTTTTGTATGTTTGAATTTATTCTTTATATTATATTGGATTTTCATATTTCTAAAAAATTAAATTCTTTGACTCATCCATACTCATTTAAAAAGTTTAAAATCTTTATTCAAACTTGAATTATGAACCTAAATGAGAAATAAATTGTATCCATTCATTAAAATATAATCTAATTTACATTTAATTCTATTTTATAACTTAATCTTTCTTCAATGTTTTAACTTTCAAAAATTTTAAAAGAAATCATAGTTACTAATATCTATAGTTATTCAATAAATTTTTAACCTAAATATTAAAAAGCTTAAGAACAATAAAAACAATATTCAAAACATTAAAAAGTAAATCTTCATTTGCATCTAAAATTATGCCCAAAAATATATTATAAAAAATTAACAAAAATTTTATATTCCTTATAATATAAGTCTAAATTAAGAAATAAATTACACTAATTGTCGTCCATCAATAGGTAACAACGCATTTATAAAAGTTCAAAAAGAGTTTTAAATATACAGATAATCTATATATATTTATATATAAGTAATAGGTGTAATAACATAAAATAAACAATATATAACTAAAAGTATTAAACCAAAACATATTTCTCGAAATCAATCTAAATATCTTAACTAATCCACTAATCACTTGACATTTAAATCCCGAATTCGACATTTCCGAAAATCGAATCTCATTTCCATCGAATTCAAACAAGCTCAACGATTAAATCAACATATATACTTTACTCAAGATTAATCTCAAGAATTGATTCCCACGATCCTAAAATATGCATTAAACACATTGTACAAGCGTTTACCATTCCGGAAATGTACTCGACCATATGATATCTATCAATTACCTGCGTTGCAATTAAGAAAGTTAGTTCGAACACCGGAATCGCCCATCGGAAAGTTAGCTTCATGTATTAAGCAATGTGGAAAACACCAAATTATTCTTTTTATTGATTCGGTTCACCGGATAGCTATCCACCGAAGCTTTGTGTCAAATTTCTGAAGCAATTTCCGCTTGGTTTAAATTAACGAGTTTTTCACACTATAGTTTGAAATAATCTTTCACTCTCGAGGATACGCTCTCTCGAATATAAGTGGTGGCGCTGTAAACGCGTCCAAGGTTTTGTCGATCGAATTGCGCGATTCGATTCGTACGAGTGAATCGATTTTCACAGTTGGGATCGAAAAAAAGATAAAAGAAAGGTTTATGTAATGATATCAAGGAAAGAGTCTTGCCCATCGTGGGCAGATTACACAGCTTTCTGTCATGCAATTAACGAAAGAAATCGAAAGATCCTGGCATTCCTTAGCACGAGCAATGACCGTGTTATGTAACCATAATGTAACTAAAATAAATAAATCAGCGAAGCTTGAATACTGAGTAATGAACGAAACAATACTTGTTATTCCAATATGGCTGAATTTTCTTATGTTATGGTTATAAATCTTTTAGAAATTGATTGAAATATGGTATTTGACAGATGAGAAATAGAATTATTTAATAATATTTGGAGTATATATTTCGTAAAAAAATTTATAACACAACGAAGCAGATTTTTGAATTTTGTATATGAGATTAGTAATCCTAATAATCTATGAATGTTAAAATATTCTAATGAATTATAATAGATTCTAAATTCTGAATTCTAATAGTTAATAAATTTTAGCTATATTATTCAGCCATATTGAAATAATGAGCATCGTTTTGCTCATTAAAAAAGATAAGTAGACCAGAATATATAGTTTACAAATTTAAAAAAATATTTTAAAAGAATTTAAAATAAAAATAAACTAGGACTAAAGATTAAAAAAATAAATAACAAATAATTTCTGGAAAATTTTATGAACAATGAAATTTGAATCGATTATTTTTTAAATAAGTTAATTTTTTCTGTCTAGAACGAAAAGATAAAACTAAACAATCATTCGAAGCAGATATATATGCAAACAGCATACAAAACGCATTTTTACTGATGCGATTGCCTTCTTCAAGCTTCCTCGTGTCAAGGTTACACACATTTTCCGATACTGAATATTTAAAACGTGTATGACTATTGAACCGATCGATCTGCATTCGACTTTTGAATGCTAAATTGTTTCTCGTGTAAATTGCACGTGGAAAATGTTCAAAGTTGTTTTCACTCTAGACGGGCATGATAATTGAACACAAATGACGTTACGCTACGAAGAATAATATAACGTCAATTGAGACATTGTTTTGCAGGGGTGTCGTATTGAAAACGTGGACGTATGAGCTTGATCGTATTTCATATATTATATCATCTCAAATATTTTATTTGAAATGAAAATAGAAAAAAAGAATTTAGAAAGATTTATTATTATTTATAGAATTATTTTAATTATTTAATTGGCTTTTAATCATTAGATATAAAACTTGTAAAAAATAGAAAATTAAAAATAAACTCTTATAACTTTTTCTTCTATTTTCATATTAAAAAAAGAAGCATAATTACTTGTTTTTAAAATATTTTCTATTCTAAATTTAAATTATTTTAAAAATATTATAAGAATATTAATTTTAGTTAGTAATATAACATATAATCATTTTTATTTAAGATTTTTATTTAATAAAAAATAAATATTTCAAAGAAAAAAGGAAGGTTCTATTGATTTTGAAATAACAAAAAACTTTTTTGTCTTCCTTGTAAAACATGCTAAAACCAGTTCTTTATGATGAATTTACTTCAGTATAAATTGCTACATGTTTTCCCCATCATTGAAACACATAAACTGCACTTTGGAACATGATTTATATCAACAATATCATCGTAGCTAAACATTGAAGAGCGTCAAATAATATTTAAACGAACAATAAACGGTTTGTCAATGCAAATTAACCAAGACTTATCAAAATTCTCTATGCATTACTAACTGGACTGTAGATCAAGATCCCAGTCGCTCGAAGAATCACAAAACTTCATTCTCAGATTTACGTATAAAATTTCTTTGTCCAGAATCGATGATATTCTTGAAGATTCTTTATCTTCCATTTATATTAAAAAAAAAAGATTTTTTGTGCTATAATATCCTAACTTAACTTTTCTTAAATTTTTGAATTCTAGAAAATACATTAGTGATTCCAAACTTTTAGTTGTTAGTGTATATAATTGAAAAAATATTCAAAATTTAATTTAACATTTTAATTATCTTCCAAATATTACAATAATAACGGACAAAATTCAAATGAAAATTAACATTTTTAAAATATTGTTATTTTTTTTTATATCTTCTCTTTTTTCGAATGGAATCAAAAATTAAACATTCATTTTGAATGAAACGTTATTTCTATTTAAATTAATTTTCGAATTCCAATATATATAATCCGTTACGATCTTTTTAGAAATATTTATAGCAGAACTCTATTTAAGTAAATTACGTATATTTATGTATACAAAATTTTATCAAGCATTTAATTAATTAAAGTTTCGAATTATTAATATATTCTACAAAATATAAAAATTAAAAAAAAAATTATCATAAAATATTCTTTTATAAGAAAATTGATCGAAATAAGTAAAATTATTAATTTAATTAAAAATCATAAAGCGAATAAAAATTATAACTAACAAAAGGAAAACGTGCTTCTTTTATATGAATGATTTAGTTTGTATACAAATTAAAGTTTCTTTTCTATCGAATAGATTCATATCAATCAAATCTTTAATAAAATCAACGTAATTTAAAAAAAAAATTCAAATGCTATCTTATTCAAGAATTACCTTATAAAATTAAAGATGTGTCTCTCGTCCTAAATAACTCGACACGATTTCGAGGTTAGATTTATCGTGGCCGTGAAAACAAGTTCCCGTATTCCGTGTACGATTCACACGGAATCACACAGAATGACAGAAGTGGCCACCCTGGAGGACATTCATCGCGTAATACGCAACGTTGCCTTTCACATAGAATCACATAGAATCGTACTAAGTTGTTACTATTATTATATAAAATTTTCTATTATTAAACGATACTTATTAAAGAGTTTCTATTTACAAAATGGAAAAAAGATGAATGGTAATAACATTTTATGAATAAATAATAAGAAAGTTAGATATCCGGTTAAGTGTTATTTTTAAATATTTCTAAATATCTTATTTAATTTAGAATAATAAAAATTTTTTATGAAAAAATACTTTAAAAATATCTTAAAATATAAAAATACTTATAATATTAAACAAAGAACAGAACATTTTAATCTAATTAATATCGATAAGAATAATAAGATTTCATAACCAATAACAATTTTTAATTGACAAATTGATCTTATCTATGAATCACATTTTTCAACATCATTTATAAATACTAACAAATATTAATAAATCTTTTTATGTTTAGTAAATAATTTATAACTGGTATACTCTTGTGATATCATGACACATCGGTTGAAAATTATTATTATAAAACTTAAAGTTCTACATTGCAGATAGTAATATATAATAAAAAATCACATAATAGCATTCTTTTTAATATAGAATCAACCAAGTTTATAGAAACAGCAAAATAATATCTGAAGACATTTTTGAAAACGATCATCACAGAATTACCTAATAATACGCAGAATTACCTTTCACACAAAACAAAATTACAGAAGCTACAAAGTAGCTTCTAAGACGCCATCCTAAGGAATAATTATCGTATAGAGTGCCTTTCACATTGAATCTTACAAAACCACAGAAGCTAAGGTAGTAAATAATACATTCGAAACGCTCTTCGTGAAAACAAACCCCAAAGAAATCAAAATCCAAACGTTACTTCGGAGAACAACACACAATATATGCGCTCGTGTTACAAAACATCGTAAATCTACAAAACTCATAAAAGTATGATGAAAACGTTAAATGATGATGAAAATACATCGAGAACAAACGAATTATATAGAATATCTTACCTGGTATTACCATTTTGATCTACATCATTTTTTTTTTCGTAGTAAAAAATGTTTCAGATAAAAGTTGAATGATTTTAAAGAGGTTATATTTTGATATTATTAATTTCTTCGTAAATGAAAATATAGAAAACTTGTAAAACTCAACTTTTTTAAATGAAATTATATACTTCTTAATATTAGAAAAAATCCCTAGAAAAATCAAAATATCATTTTAAAAAACAATCATAATATATAATTGGCTTCTTAACCTATCTTTAATCTACATCGAAAGTATCAATCTAAATTTAATATATCTACCAAGAAACGAGGATCTCGCGGAACGTAGATGCGAATAAAGAGAAAAATGTATTCTGGGTGCGCCTACCATTGTGCTGCCGGCACTGGGTTCTCGCATTCGATTACGCGAGACGATCGGGCCGTTCGAGAGGCGAACGAGCGGGCAAGCGAACGGCTGCACCGGGCAATACCATGGAATGGAATGGAACGGAACGGAATGGCAGGAGTGTTACAAAATATCAGCTTTCACCGTATCAGCGCGTTACAGCTTTACACAGACTGACTCGGGTACAACTCTGCGATGTACTTCACTTCTCTCTGTCTCCTTCGTCCTCGACGTTCGTTGTCATCGAAGACATAACGTCATCGCGCGCCCTCTGGCAGTATTTAAGATCGTTTTTATGCGTTCGATCTATCGACACCTCATTGTTAATCGTGATCGTTCTTTCAGTGGGATTGTCCTCGATCATCTTTTTTATTCTTGATCTAGGAGATCGATGATAATCATAGATGTAATCATAGTTACTTGATCTCAGATATTTGTGGTTGTTGGTATTCTTATGACAATGCAAGTGATAAGTAGGTTGAGGTTTTAATGGTTAAATGTTTGAGGTTAGATTTCGTTGGTTGGATTTTTATTTTTTATCAAGATCCAAAAATTAAAAATAAACATCTTCATTTAACGTTATATTCAAATCATTTAAATGATCAATTAATTTTCACCACAATTGACCTATTGTCATATTTTATGTATAACTAACAAATGTCTCAATATCTATAAATAGAATAGTATCTATTATTTTATTATACCAATACAAAAAATCTTTATCTAATCCATTAAACGATCTTCTATTAAACATAGAATCCTTGACAAGCTATTTCCAATTAGTCTTCGAAGCCTTGACAAAAGTAGCAGTAATATAAACGTGAAACTAAACTCGAACTAAGCATTTCCTTCGACAGGAGCCGAGACAGCTACGTCTGTCTGGTTAACAGCCTAATAAAGATAGCTCATGGTTGGTTGAAGCGGTTTCGTTGGACCTCTATTGGGAGCTCTTGATGGGTAGATAGTACGAAAATGCAGTCAAAGGAGATCGAGAAGATATTGCGTAAGTGTGCCTACTTAGTATATGTCTGCATTGGGAAAAACCTAACCTATACGTTGATAGGTGTTCACTAATCAACCATAGACCTATTACAGGTCACCGAACTAAGTCATTCGTTAATGGGAATTGCATTCGCATAAAAAAATATAGCAGTTGCGGTTGATTGCGGTGATCAGTCGTTTCCTCGAAAAGAAATTCGTAACACCGATAAACAGAGAAAGAGATCTCGGTAACTCCATTGATCATTGCATAAGATAGTAAGATCTTACGACACATTTTAAAAAAATTATTTCTTCAAGTAATCTAGTAATTTCTAATCTTTTTGATAGATATTTTTTTTTGTTTCTAGGAAAATCGAATGGCCTGAATTGAGATATCTAATGATACTAAAAAGAAATCAGATAAATTTATAAAATTTTAAGGTTAAGAATCCTAATATTGTCTCTGAAATCTTATTGTTTTTATTCAAAATCTGAAATTTTATTGATTTTATAATCTAATAAAATTATTATAATTATTTAAATAATTAATAATGAATACAAGAAACTTTTTTTTAAAAACGCTAAAAATTTTAAAATTTAAGAAATAAAAATAAAAAAATAAGAATGATAAAAACGAAAATGAAATTCTAAAAAATTCACTTATGATAATTCATATTTAAAAAAAAGAAATTAAAAAGTTTAATATTTTTAACTATTTCTTAACTATAACCAAAATGAATATCTTAGTAGAGATAAAAGATCCCGTTATGTTATTGTAATTTAAACCGATACTCTATAATAGAAGCGATTAGTCACAAACGTTAGTTTCATTTAATAAGTATATTTTAAAATTGCTAACGTATCGAGAGAGCTATAGACAGAAGCATACGTAATTGTGAATGATCTAAACGTAATTGTAAATGATCAGATTAAGTATAATTTTAAATGATCTTGTATTGACAATATGAATTATGATTTACTCTTAAGGAAATAAGAATCAAATCTTGATATCGTTAACGATTTTATAGAACATGTCTAATTCTTTTAGTCTGTACCAGTTTGTGATTGTAATTTTTATCTTGCCATTTGATCTATATTTATTTCTATATTAATGTGAATTTTAATACATTATAATAATTAACAATTGACATTTTCATGTGCACTAATTATATATTGTATGGAAAAATTATATTAAAAGATTCTAAAAAACCAATTATGTGAAAAATTTGATTATTTTTTAAATTTTTATTATATATTTATAATTTTTATTATATTATAACAAATAATGAAAAGAATGAAATAATGAAATTTTTTAATATTGTCTTTTTAAAAAATCTTTTCCTTATCATATTATTATTATCAATAATATTAAAAATTTTGAAAAAATATATCAATGTATGTAAATAAAAAGCAATGCATTTTATTTTTTCTTCTTAGACATCCTAATTGTTATTCGAGTCGTTTCAGAGAGTGCAGCATTCTATCGAGAGGCCACCTACGTTCACGTGGAACTCCACGTGAGGGAGAGCTCAATGTTGCGTGCGATTGAAAGTAAATTTTTTTCTTTTCTATCGATCACAACTAGCCAGCGGGACCTATGTAACTCGTAAACTGTCGATTCGTTGTATTTTTAATCACAGCACACTATGAAACCGTTATATCGTATGTTTTACAACTTGTACGTGTCATCTCATGACCCTGACACATTGTTTCAGTGAAGTTCAATTGAACTCTACTTTCTATTTTCATTGTTAATTGGTAAAAATTAATGAAATTTGTTAACATATTGACATAATACAGGTTTTTTAAAATTTTTTAGATCATTTGTAAAATAGATCATCTTAATGTTTTAATATTATCATATAATCTAATTTATTATATTAAATTTTTGAATTTGAAATAAAAAGTTCCAATTAAAAACAAAATTAAATTAATTTAAAAAAAGATAAATGTATGAATGTATAATGTAATGTGAATATATAATGTTTTTCAATAAATATTTGATATGCAATATTATTTTTAATCAATGTATAACTAGTTAACTTTTTTAAAAAATTTTCATTGCCTGTTTAACTAAAAGATAAGACTGAATGCATTCTGACTGCATGAAGTCAATCTTTATGAATTTAATTATATTTTAAAATTATATTAGTCACAAAAATATATAATATAGTATAATATAATTTTAACAATAAAAAATTAATTTGTTTTATATGATGAAATGATTTTAAAAAAATTAGGTTAGAATTCAGAAAATAAAAAATCTGTCAAATTAATTAATATCTATTCAATTTAATAAAAAAAAATTTAGCAGAGGATTTAGTATGAAAAAGAAATAAAATATCATTAATAAAAATATCAAAAAAAAAGTTAGATTAAAATTTCATTTCCTCAAAAAATTCTTACAAAATTTTTTTACTAAAGTAAGCGAATTCTTTATCTAGATCTAATTTGATACTAATTTTAAATGATACTAATTTTAAATGAACAAAACTAGTCAAAAATTTCTTATAAAAAAGAAAAAAAAAACTTTTGACGGATAGTATACATAGCCTAATTGAATCTAAAACGTATATCAAATTTTCCGATTCCATGGAGCAAGATGATACGAAAATCGTTTTAATGCCAGGTCGTCGCCCGTGACATTTCAAATACTTTCAAGTAACCGTACGCTTCTCCTCTCTCCGCGTACTGTCGATTAAACATGGCGAGAGTCGTCGCAATTATAGCTCACGAGAAAGGACTTTCGACTAGCGAGAAATTGGCGATTCACTTTTGTAATCATTTAAACAGCTGATTTGGACCAGTCAAAGTTACACTATGAATATGAACTAATTGCAAATAATTTTCAATTTCCATCGATTTTCGATTTTCATAGATAGTATAAAATCGTTATCCAAATAATAGATAGTATAAAATCCAAAGTTATCCAAATAAATTCTTACATGGAAATTTCTCTAAGAAATTATTCGAACAATTCGACGTTGAGGAATAGTTTCATTCGACTTGTCAAGGAATAACAATCGAAATCAAAGATTGTCTGTTTGGAGAATGGCCGACTGTAATACTGTAACCGTGACCCGTTCGCTTACCAAGTGTAATAATTCGCTTCCGCGGCTTTCGTAGTTTCTCTTTTTTGTATGGCCTAAGAACGAGATGGAGCGATTGTAATCTGACGAACGAGTATAACGACGCGTGCTAACTTAATAAACCAGTTGCCCCGGGTTATATAAATGAATCGTGTGGATTCGAAAAGTGTTACTGATTGTACGATTTAGTTACCGATTATATTAATTAGATGAGAACAAGATCGAATATCGAATCATTTTGAAAATGATTAAATGATTTCAATATCGGATTTGATTAAAAAAAATTCAATTGTAAATAGTAATTTATAAAAATTAAAGATAGAAAGAAAATCTTAGATCAAATTGAGATCAAAAACTGTTGAACTTTAAGAAATTTTTTTGGTCTCATAAATTTGGTCATAATTTTTGAATCATAAGAAGCTTCTTATTTAGAATCAAAAGTTCTTAAATTCTAAGAAATTTAGTAATCAAACATTTTTGAATCTTAAAAAATATTTGATCTCATAAATTTAAAATCTTGAAGAATCTCAAATTTGAAACAGTATGCAATAAGAGGATCCTAAAATTAAACACATTCTTGGAGTATCTGATTTCCTGTATCATGATATGCTGAAATCTTGATTGAAATGCTCTTTATCATTTCCTACTTTTCTATTTCTTAGATTTCTATAGAATTTTCAGAAATTCTTTTGATTCTAATATTCAAAGTTTTCAGATTTTTGATTATAGCAACATTTCTCATCTTGGAATGTTATCAATCTTTGTGAATTCCTAAATGTTAATTTTAAACAATTTTATAATTGTGTTATATTCCATTGGCTATTTTTGTGAACATTAAAATATCATCAGATTCATATAATTTTAATAATTTTCTGTTCCTCAATAAGTAAACCAATCCTTATTCATTGTTATATACATAAATCCAAAAGACAAAAGAAAGTTACTGGACAAAATGCTCCTTGGAGCATAACCGGATTGTGTAATCTACTCAAGAATGATGATTCGAACTTTACTAAACGAGTTATTGGAATTTCGAACATCTTTGAACGCATTCCATTTATAAATAAATAATTTTAAATATTCAGAACATATAGATCGTGAAAATTGCTCTAAGATAATCTAAATTTCAACACAGTAACATCACGAATGGAATTTAATATAGAGCACTTTGAGATCATTTTTTAAAAACTTTTGACTGTTTTGTAAAAATAAGATATCCTAATTTATCCTGATTTAACTAATTGGAATATTACAGAATGCTTCGAGATATAAAAAACCTAAAATTTAAAAAAAAAATTGTATGAGTGCAATTAATAAAATGATTTCTTTGAAGGAAAAGTTTTGATTGATACTTTCAAATGGAAATAACATTTAGATTGGAAAAAAAGATAAAAAAAATTAGTAATGGTTCTAAGCACGTGAAAATGATCAAGTATAACAATAAGTGTAACTTAGAATATGATATATTACATAAATGAGAAACAAGCTCGAAATACGAATAGTTTTTTCGCTGAAAATATCAGAGATGAGAGTGGAAGGTTTAATGGCATTTCAAGTCACGAAAAGGTGATTCTATTTAATAATAAGCGTAAGTTAATAGACGTGTGACCTGTTATATAAATGAACTGTTCGAGGCAAATATAATTTCACAGTTTTACTTTCCATTTGATGGAACAACTTCAACTATTCAATATCGATACAATGAAAATACTTTCTTTGATAGAATGATTTGATATGGATTTTCACCAATTGAGGGAAAAAAATTTATATAATTTAAGATTCACGAAAAAACCTTTTTTAACTTAATATTTTTAAAAATATAGACAATTCCAACAAAAAATTTTTAATTATTATTCCTAATTATAATTAAAATATTTATAATATTATAAATCTCTTAAAAATCAGTCTAATATTCAAAATTAAATTTTTTCGAAAAGAATATATACTCTTCTATTCAAATCGAATATAATTCTATAACGATTCAAAAATTCGACAATGCTTTAAATCATGAGAAAACGATCGAGCAACGGCCTACTTTGCACATAAAACTATTCATGGTGAATACTTATCGAAAGGTTGGTTTTCTCCAAGCGTGAAAGCGCCCCTATGATAGGAACAACTTTGCCATGAATTGAAAAAAGGATTGTTACAATGATAGAAAATTGTATTAATAAAATTCCATAACCGTGGATCGTGATCAAGGAAACCAAACGAACAGCAGACGGAAGGAAACCAACTGTGAATATTTCCGCACAATTAGTAACAGTTTTGCCCACACGTGAAAGCCGTGAGGAAATTAAATCGAACGTTTGAGCAAATAAGCGGAAGTCAACTTCTCTGTGAATATGTAATACCCAATTATTATAAACATAATCTTATATTTAGATTAAATGTCCATTCCAATTTTTTTCAATGTTCCAAATCTTGAAAAATTCTGAAAAAATTTTAATATTATAATATTATTATT